TAGGAAGGAATTAGAAGTGAGCCAGTTAGAATGTATCTTGTATATGTTCTATAGGAAGGAATTAGAAGTGAGCCAGTTAGAATGTATCTTGTATATGTTCTATAGGAAGGAATTAGAAGTGAGCCAGTTAGAATGTATCTTGTATCAGTTATATGGCAGGGAATTCCAGATAGAATGTATCTTGTATCAGTTGTAAAGCAATGATTAAAAGAGAGCTACTTAGAATGTATCTTGTATCAGTTATATATCAAGGAATTAGAAAAGAGTCAGTTAGAATGTATCTTGTATCAGTTATATGGCAAGGAATTCCAGATAGAATGTATCTTGTATCAGTTGTAAAGCAATGAGTTAAAAGAGAGCTACTTAGAATGTATCTTGTATCAGTTATATATCAAGGAATTAGAAAAGAGTCAGTTAGAATGTATCTTGTATCAGTTCCATGGCGACGACAAAGGTGCAGGTTGGTTCGTATAAAAGTGTTAGGTATTTTTTTTACGAGAATTAAAGTATTCGTAGTACTTTTGGAACAAAAGTAAGTAGTCCTTTTTTGTTCTAAAAGTTCTAATATTTTCCGGTTGGTAGTTTGCAGGCTATAAAACTTTAAATGAAATAAAAGGAAGAATTAAAATGTTTTAATATATACAAAGGGAATTTGAAAGGATGAGTTTTGATGTTTAATTGTTCCTCGCGTGATAGCCTCAGTTTCTATTATATACGCTATTTTGAACCGTGAAATAATTATTAAAGCCAATGTTAATTAAACTGATTTTTGTCTCGAGAACTTATTGTTGTTCTTAAACAAGACATTTTTGCGCGAAACAAACCAAAAATATTTTCTTCAAAACATTAACGAAGATATATTATATATACAATTTAACAAGTGCATTGTTTGTTTGTTGTTAAGCACAAACCTTCAAAATGGGCTCTCTTTGCTCTACCTACCACGGGTATCGAAACCTGGTTTTTAGCGTTAGAATCCATCAGACTTACTGCTGAGTCATTGGAGAGCTTAACAAGTAGATATTAACCACCAAAACTCTTGGCATGGTCAAGTGGTTAACATGCTCACACTCTTAATTCTAGGATTAATCCTTTCTGTTGCTACAAAAAACGCACTCCGCACTTTCGGGCCGTGGATGCGCTGTTAAGAGTTAAGGTCAAATCCCAAACTCAGTTGGTTGTGGAAACTGTTAACTATTTGCCTTCCCTCTAGTCTATCACTGCTAAATTACGGACGGCTATGTCTAGATAACCGTTATGTAGCTTTACGATATTTTGAAACAAACAAAAATAGTTGAATCTTATGTTGTGAGAAGAAATACTATATTTCCAAAAGAAATGGGTTAGAACACCACCAGCTAGAAACAGGCCCGTTTACAATAACTTTATATGTAAGACCCATGAAACAGTTTTCCAGGAAGTTTTGTTCAGGTCAGCAGATGTCCCAAACGGCCAGTTATAACAGAAGAAAGAGACATTCGAAACTGGATGATTTTTAAATTCAGGTTTGATGGTATGAACGTGCGAAACAAATATGAACGTGCTTTGTAGAATGTTGGATTTGTTAGAAAACAAAAGTTCACAACTGTCTATTAATTCATCGTACTGTTTGTTATGAGACAGGTCAGCCATTCTGGATTTTTGAGTCGATACGTTTTGAACAAGCTAGCATCAAAGCTGTGAATGTGAAACATAAGCTTTCATGATGTAATGAAAACAAGGTGGATTACTGTCACGTTGTAGTTGGTTTGGACATGATCTAGCAATATTAGTTAATAAATGTCTTGTTGTATTATGACATTCTGGATAACGCTGCAATGATGGATTTTATAGGGAAAGTCAGTATCTCTTCATGGATGATAATGCATTCAACCATTCATTAATTTGTCAATAAGAATTCTGAGAGGATTAATGTCCAGAACCTCGATTAAAATTTACTTGAAGTATTATGCAAGTTTTGGAAAGTTGCAGGTCAGACGATGGCAAATGGTTAGAGGGCTGGCTTTTGAATTGACTGTTTCACCCCTCTTTGGTCAAATATTCTAAATTAGGAATAGCTACGCCTACGTCTTGGTGTCTATGTCTAGGTCATAGTAAGAATCCTAATGGACAGACATGGAATTACTTTTCGGTCAATTTGTGTATCAATGGTAGGCGGCAAATGTCCTAAATAGTGTCCATTCTGTCGTTAGCACCTAAAACGTCTTTGTTCTTATCAAAATGCAGTCCCAGTTTAGCTAGAAATTAAATCAGCCAACAAAATATTGTTGAAGTATGAGTTAAAGCAGATAAATATTTTTTTCGAAGGATTAAACATTAAAATTTATTTTATAAAATATCATTATGATTATTTCTCCCACTACATTTCTACTTCAATCACAGATTAACCATCAAAGCCAGATGTCCGATGCATTTAAGGAAATATCCACTAGACACTCAAGCCTGTCCCTTGGAGATTGGAAGTTGTAAGTCAGTGTTTTTTACGTATCCGCAGTAAGACATGCTTGTTACTCTGATATGAGGTTCTGTTTTGTTAACAATTTCTAATATGTTATTCAATAAGAATCGTATAGGTGTTTTTAAACCTTATCTACTGATTTTCTTTCTCCTAAATTCAGTGAAATTTTCTACTAGATTATTATGGACTGTCCTAACAAGAAACATTTGTTGGACAAGCTCCTCTATTGTTAAACAAACACTTATTGCGTGTTATGTATTTCCATGATATCAAAAAACACTTAGGTTGAAGAAGTCTTGATACAAGATAATAGCAACCCTATAATCCGAGCGCTTTCGAAAGGTCCACCTATCGAAAGCGCTCGGGTTATAGGTTTTTTATCATATTGTCTGTTATGTAGAATATTTAAAGGTAATGTGATTTTAAGGATGTGATGTTTAAAGCCAAAATAGACTTTCTTTATGCTGCTCGGGTTTTGTTACTTTTCTCGGTGCAACATGAATTTACGTCGTACTGTTTCAATTATTGTTGTGAAATTCTTAATGCAGCATTTAATTTCTATTTGTTGTTCAAATTCATTGATCTTGAGTGAATCTTGGAGTAACTTGTAAATCCTTTATGTTGTTCGTGTTCCTAGATGTTGAGTGAATCTTGGAGTAACTTGTAAATCCCATATGTTGTTCATGTTCACTGATGATGAGTGAATCTTGGTGTAACTTGTAAGTCCTATATGTTGTTCATGTTCATTGAAGATGAGTGAATCTTGAAGTAACTTGTAAATCCTATATGTTGTTCATGTTCACTGATGATGAGTGAATCTTGGAGTAACCTGTAAATCCTATAGGTTAACCTGTTCATGTTCACTGATGTTAAGTGAATCTTGGAGTAATTTGTAATTCCTTTATGTTGTTCGTGTTCCTAGATGTTGAGTGAATCTTGAAGTAACTTGTAAGTCCCATATGTTGTTGATGTTCACTGATGATGAGTGAATCTTGGTGTAACTTGTAAGTCCTATAGGTTGTTCATGTTCACTGATGATGAGTGAATCTTGGTGTAACTTGTAAGTCCTATATGTTGTTCATGTTCACTGATGATGAGTGAATCTTGGTGTAACTTGTAAGTCCTATAGGTTGTTCATGTTCACTGATGATGAGTGAATCTTGGTGTAACTTGTAAGTCCTATATGTTGTTATGTTCACTGATGATGAGTGAATCTTGGTGTAACTTGTAAGTCCTATAGGTTGTTCATGTTCACTGATGATGAGTGAATCTTGGTGTAACTTGTAAGTCCTATAGGTTGTTCATGTTTATTGAAGTTGAGTGAATCTTGGAGTAACCTGTAAATCCTATAGGTTAACCTGTTCATGTTCATTGATGTTAAGTGAATCTTGGAGTAATTTGTAATTCCTATAGATTGTTCAAGATTTATTCCTGCTGTTCGATTCCTGAAGTAATATGTTAATATTGTCTGTTATTAAAAATTTACTTCTGTTTCGAGATTCTTGGCACGTAAATCTTGTAAGTTTTTGGAGGTCTAATGAAGTTATGGGATGCTTAATGTGACGTTTCTTTCCTAAGTTTTGTTTTCCAAATCTATGACAGTATGAATCTTTCAACTTTTATTAAATTAGCTAATTTCTTAAATTAAAACTAATGCTGCTCATTTTTTATAATTTCTCTCTTCTGTGAGGTTTTTATAGGAAAAGGTAATTGAAATACGTACTTGGTGATAAGAATCGTTTTATTTAGAAAACAGTCTGCTCATGCTAAACAGTAGTGTTTACATGAAAGCTGAGATGCAGGAAAATGGAGTTAGACAACACTATACAATACGTGTTTATATAGAAATGATTCTTATTGTTCAGTTTAAACCTGGTAGCAACAATACTGCTAGACAATACGTGTTTACACAAATCAACGTTTCTGTCTAAGTCTTTAAATTGCCTGAAGAAGGGATTCTGGTCGAAACGTTGCAAATAATTATAATGTTTTTGTTATATACGTGTGTTTTACCAATTCTACGTCTTGCGGTCTTTTCTACTGCATGTTTTTACACAAATCAAGATTTGTGTTATTCTGTTGGAAACTGATGATAACATTGACATACGAATTTTGTTTTGCCCTGAATAGTTGCGTACACTGCTCGAGACGTGATCTACAAATGGAAGGGAGTTGATCCTGTGATCATATCTAAGGGAGTGACGCTGTCTCAGTATGACTTTGCAAAAATCATCACAACTGATATAACCACAAAACGTGAGTAATTAAAATGGAGATAATATTGTAAACTTTTACGATATAAAGTTTGATCGGACTTTCCAGCATAATGGAAACGTCATGGTAAGATTTCTTAAGTTTGAGTATGTAAACAGCTGACATTAACCATTAGTTAAACAATTGCAGTTTTTGATGTATATTGTTAAACTACTAACGTAAACAGCTGATAATGGTTAATGCCAGCTGTTTACGTTAGTAGTTTAACAATATACATCAAAAACTGCAATTGTTTAACTAATGGTTAATGCTTAAACAATTGCAGTTTTTAGTGTATATTGTTAAACTACTAACGTTGTTTTAATTATGTCTACGCAGTCCTTCCAGGTAAATTATGTTATAAAAGTTAATTATTATAATTGTTAAACTATTTACATACGCCAATTATGGTTATTCTATTTTTCCAGTGAAATATGAAACTTACATAGGCTAAATATATCGGTTTAGTATTTAAGAATAAACAAAAACGTTTCATGAAAGTTAGTTGTGGTAATTCTTCCTTTCAAGATAAATCGTGAAAGTAACTAATGCCAACTGCTTGCACAGGTCAGAACTAAAAAATAAAGTAACCAGAAATTAGTTAAATATACTGTTTAAACTATCTTACTAATACCGATTAGAATGTATTCGTTCAACAGATGGGTACCTTGTATTTTAACGATATTTTAGGCCACCAATAATATGACACGAGGTTCAGCTAGTCCATGAGACTTGGGTTAATCATAAATCCGAAAACCAAACTCACAATATAAAATAAAATAAAATAATAATAAATACAATAAAATACAGCATATCGATTAATTACAACAATTCTATATTTCCAGTTGAACTGTTGATTACTCACATAGATTAATTACAACAATTCTATATTTCCAGTTGAACTGTTGACTACTCACATAGATTAATTATAACTATTCTATATTTCCAGTTGACCTGTTGACTACTCACATAGATTAATTACAACTATTCTATATTTGCAGTTAAACTGTTGACTACTCACATAGATTAATTATAACTCAACTGGAAATATAGAATTACCTGTTGACTACTCAC